GTCAGTGGCCCGCTCTGCCGGGCCCTTCTCTGGGCCGTCCGCCGCCAGTTTACTGGGAACTGCTTTGTGCAAAAAGAGGTTTGGAGCCATAATGGTGGAAACGGCCCACAGATTCATGCGGTTCCGGCGCTCACAGCAAACCACCTTACTGAGAAACTCCAGCAGCGCCTGCAGAAACACACACACACACACACACACACACACACACACACACACTTCTGCTTTACAGGGATGATCTCTGACAACATATGTGTGGCTCACAGCGTTGATCAGTGCTGGGCTGATGAGCCAGTACATATTTAATATTTTACAAATGAGTTTTAGTCTTGTTTCTAGTTCAAATATCTACAAGTTCTGAAATCAAGAAAGTTTTCTAGAAAATACTGTAATAGAAGAAAATACTGTCTTATTTTCAGAAATAATGAGTGTGAACTCTAATGATTAAGTGAGTTTTTCCATAAAACAAGCTAAATAATCTGTCCGTGGGGTAATACGATTATTTTGCGGACCCCACTGGCAGATTATTTTGCTCGTTGTATGAAAAAACTCTCTTCATTTTGACTCATTATTTCTGAAAACAACACTATATTATTGCTTGTCCAGAAAATGCTTCTTGATTGAAAGATTCTCTGATATTTAAACAAGAAACAAGACTTAGGGCCCTATCATACACTCGGTGGCGCAAGGTGCAACGCAATGGTTGTTTGGTAGTTTCAGCTTGACGCAAGAGTGGTTTTGAGGCGTTGCGCTACGCTGTTTAAATAGCAAATGCATTAGCGCTCATATGTGCACTCATAGGAGTTCTGGTCTAAAAAGAAAGGTGTTCTGAGGTGCACTGCTGGAGCGTTGCTATTCTGAGAAACTATAATAGATTTTTCATTAGACCAAAACAAACCCGGTCTAAACTCCAGCGCAGAGTTGCGCCTCGCTTACACACTGCTTAATACACACAAGAGAGCAATAGCCAAATATCTTTACATGTGAAAAAAATAAAATATTAAGGATATATATAGGATATAATAAGAATATATATAAAGGATTAAAATATTACAAAACATTAGAGGGCTTTTTCAGTTTATTCATAACAATTTGCTTTTGTATAATGTTATTATTATTAGCAGTGTTATTTATTATATCCATATTTATATTTGTTTTATTAAAAACAAGCTTAGATTTGTCCACCTGTCAGGTTTTAGACCATATGGGGCGCAGCATGTGTTTTAGGATATAACTCAGGTTTCTGAACACACTTGGTTATTATTGTTTATTTATTCGTTTGCTGGAAATTAGAACTGAATTTAGAAATAGTTTTGAAACAAATCTTTGCGCTTAACAAACAAAATTAATTGTTTATAGGCTAATTGATGTCTGTGTGTAAAGGTTTCCCTATCTAAGAGCGAAAGTGAAAGTAGATCATTTATCTCTCATAATCGCACTGCAGATGCTCTGTTTAACTGTTTTCTTGCTAGTGAAATGCTCAGTTTCTCCACTTAGACTTACTTTACGTCCTGTAAATAGCGAATGTGCTCTTGGCGTGACGCAGCTGACTCTTAAAGGGAATGGGAGATGAGACTCTGATTGGTTTATTCTCAAAACACACCTATAACTCATTAAGAAAATAAACTCAACCCTTTTAGACCATGCACCACGGCGCAAAGCCGATTTTCCCGTCCTTAAATTAGCAAAAATGCGTTCCGACACGCCCTGAAAGCGTTTGCGCCCTGCGTTTTGCACTCTGCGCATGGACCGTCAAAATAGAGCCCTAAAACTCTAAGAGAAGCATGTGACACCTTAACTTAACAAAAGCGGAGAGATTAAACTTGAAAATGCTCATAAATATATATATATATATATTGTGTCCCATATTGAAATTCAGTGTTGTTTATAATCGTAGACACAGATGACAGAGTGATGATGTCTGGCTGAATGATCACTGGTGAAGATCGCTTTATCTGACTTTAATCAACAGCAGGTCTTCAACATAAAGAGACGCAGTTATGTAAAGAGAGCTACGCTTGAGTGAAGCTACACACACACGAACGCTCAGTGTGTTAATGAACTGTTCTTATGTAATGCTGTTGATGAGTCACGTCTGTGTGTGTGTGTGTGTGTGTGTGTGTGTGTGTGTGTACCTTCAGTGTGTTTCTGTTGGGTTCTGGCAGCAGCAAAACAAGTAGATTCAACATGTGCAGCTTCTGCTTCAGGTCTGCGATATCTGCAAAAAACAATTCGATTTAGGCAGATTCTTCATGCTGTATCAGCATTGTAGAGGCGCACACTTTATATTATTGACTAAAAACAAAAGATGAGACGATAGCTTGTTTTAATATCTATGCTATGTTACTTTTTTAACAGCAGATGACGCTCTATGCTAGTTTTTACCATAGGTGTAATGCAGGGGTGCCCAAACTCAGTCCTGGAGGGCCGGTGTCCTGCATATTTTAGTTCCAACCCCAATCAGACACACCTGAACAGCTAATCAAGCTCTTTCTGGGTTTACAGAGGCTGTTTCTCAGTATGCGTTCTTTAGTGGTCTTGCGTCCTCGTGTAACGTCATCATCAGCTGCCAAAGTTCAGTTCCAATACTCAAGACCGCATGAACAGAGGACTTCCCGGATGTGATCTTAATATCGAGGACTCACCGATGCAGACCTGAGCACCAATCTCGCTCTAGAAGTCCCAGAAGTCATTGCGGCTGGAGGTGATAAGCGCAGCATTTTCTATAGATTTATTATAAAAGTTCAGAGATATGACTTATTTACCTCAGGAGCTTTCCTAAAATGAGACGGTGAATGTAAACATTACCATGGACATCTTAATAAG